TTTTAATTTATTTATAACCAATATCACGAGAAAAAGAACTTTCAAGGGAAGGCTCGAAATTCGAAGAACTCTGTGATGACCACTTGTATATCAGTAAGTGGTACCTCATGTTAGTCGGTCAATGGCCATATCAAAAGTTGAAAGAGAGCTTGTTTATCTTGACTGTTATACTTCTTCTCGATGCCAGTGCACAGTCATTACGCAGGTAACGTTACCGTGGATATCTTTATTAAAAGAAAAGAATTAATGACAGAGATTTATTAATTAGATTTTGCGCTGATTCGAATAATTCGTTTGTTAACTGACAAATTTACAAACAAGTGCAATCGTATTTTTCAGATAGCAAAATTTGGCAAATGCGATATAACGCGCAGTGCATTTATGAAACTTTACCACATTATATGCTGACAGTGATGATTCTGGTGAAAATTTTCACGTATCACTTTAATAGCCGGAAAGTACGTTTTATTAATGTGAACGATATTTTAATTGTGAACTGCAGATATTGCTTCGTTGCAAAATCTTAAATTCTTTTTGACAAAATTGTTATACCTTTTGAGAATATTGCATCTAAGGCATTGAATATATCGGTGATGTTTGTAGATTAAATATCTCACAGATCGCTTATGCATAGACTGGCCCGGGAAAAAATTTTTGATATAAGAACATATAGAAATATATATAAACATATATAAAAATATATAATTATATATAATTATATACATATAATTAAATGCAAAATCTGTAGCGATCGTGGCACAGAGAGTTGTGTGTCTGTTTTCGGTGCCAAAGAGCCGGGTTCAAATCCGACTATTAGGTAGAGAACAACAGATTTTTATTCGATCGCTACTTACTTCTCGGAAGGAAGCAGCTGCAATCCACCGAGAGTATATCTTGTCATGAAAACCTCTCTAAATTAGGACGTTCGGAATCGGCGTTTAAAACTGTAGGTTCCGTATAACTGTGTAAATCGTGAATAACGCACACCACAGAAATATGATGAGGACTCACCACGTGTCTGACAAGAGGCAAACGACTAAGATGACATGAAATGCGAAATATATGTCCATACACATCCATATGTGTTTCTTTTCTTTGTAAAATTATTATTTGATACAAGAAAGATGGTAATAATAAAAAGAAAACATAAAAAATAATTTTAACAAATATTTGCATTTGTTTTTTTTTTTACAAAAAATCAAGTTTTAAGAAATGAGAAAATATTATACATATATAATTATAAATGTATATTTTAATCATTTATATAAAATTATACATGAGCAATTTCTCATTTCTTCAAACTTGATCGGAAGAGCACAC